ATAGCTCTATCCATCGATTAGATGTCGTCGTCTCTGTTTTTGAATTTTTTTATTACAGATCACTACTTAGTCATGGATTTCCTTCACAAAGGATGGTTCACCGAATTTTCACCAGATGATTTGGAAAGGATGAAACAGGAAGGTTAGCGCTATTTAAAGGCAAAACTCGCGATCATTCGCCACCACATATAGTGGACTAAGAGTTCGCATATAGACGACAAGGTTGTGAGTAACTCGATAGTGAAGAAAAAAAGCAAAAAAAATGCTAATTGCCTAATAGAACCCCATTCCGATTCCAGTTTCAACGTGCCCAGTTAACTCCATCTTCAGCACTATGCCCTCATCCGCACATCTGATTGCCCGATAAGATCTCTACGACCGTACAAGTGACGATTTTCATGCTTTTTCGTCCTGCAGCTTCGTTTTCACTGAAAGGCGGGCCTTGAGGCGGAGTCTGGAGGCGGAGTCACTGGAAAAAAGGAGGCGTCACTGAACCTATATTGCGCTATAGCGCCCCTCCCTTACAATTTTTTGCCGCGAAACCGGTACAAGGTTGTTCGTCGCGGACCACACTACCCTCCCGACGCCATATTTTCAACTTCTATACCTGATCGCGGACCGTACCTTTAATCAAACTTCGGACGTATGCCCCTAACACCAGATACCTCGGGAGTTAATTTATGGGATCCTCATGGAATCCTTCTGAAACCTTTGAATTTTGTCACCCCTTGGTTTGACTGTTTCAAATCAAAATTGGATCTGAGTTTTGCGTTAGTTCTGACCCACGTAAAGGGTAAAGTAAGAAAGCCTCTAGGGTTGGGATGCGTCACACATCCCACGCTTGCTGAAATCGGGGTGATATTTTGAATGAGTCTTGGCAAAACAATCGTTCCGGGGGGGGGGGGGGCAAGGGATAGAAAGCTTGGCTGGTGTGAGCGGGAGCCGATCTGAGATTCAACGGACCAAGTAGGATGATAAGCAGGCCACTTGCGACTACACCATCGTCTGTCAAAGAGTTCAAATGATGGCGGGAGAGATGAGGGCTTGACCCTGCCTGCAGGGATGGGAGGGCTTGGTTGACTTCTCCGACTCCTTCTGGGGCTTGAAATCACATGGTGAAGTGCACCACTTGCCATTTTACCACCTCAGCCCCAAATAGGGTGCGTCCTTTCATTCTAAAGGGGTTTGCAATTCTCAGAGGTAGCTGAATTTGAAAATATTCAGTAAAATGTTTCAGGATCCAGTGAGTCGAAGCAGTTGAAGTCCGACGGAGAGGTGATGGGTGGAGCCTGGCCAGGCCAAGCGTTTTCACTCAAAAGTAAAAGAAATCCTCTTCCACGAAAAAAGCGAATACCAAGATGTTCTAGTGTTCGAGAGGTAAAGATCCTTACAAGTGCAAATTTCAATGTTCTTACAGTTTTATCCGTTGGAGCTTAAAGGGCGCCTTGGCTAGAGATGTGTTATCCTGCGGGTGCACGTCAGGAGATCCGAACTGCGGCAGCGCAGCGTTGCGGGTGAAGCCGCGTTTGCGACTTTCACAGCAGAACCTACTGTATTCAACGCGGAGGTGCAACGATGAACCGAGTCAACTAGCTAGGAAATGTCGCAAGCGTCGACGTACATGCTTGTCAGCGGTGCATGGGTTTGCTTGGCGCAGTGCCAGCCTTTCCCCACCGCTTATCGAGCACCTGCAAGCGCAACGATCGATGGAAAGAGGCTGGCATTGCGTCAAAATCACTGGACTGACATTAGAAATAGGTACTGTAGATTCTGTTTATTGCCGTAAGCTCGGATCTCTTGACCAGCACTCGCTCTCATTTGCATTGCAGTGGGCGCGACTGCTGGAGGCGGGCGGCTGTTGCCAGCGTGGTGGAAGGGCTGCAAGTGGGCGATTAGCCCTATCACACTCAGCTCTTTCACCAATGACGTCGACAAGCGCTCGCCGCCAGCCTGGTGAAAGGGTAGAACGTTGTTGAGCAGTTAATCCTCTTTCAGTGAATCTTACGGGAATGTACTGGTATTAGATGGTATAATACAAGCTACAGAACGAGATGAGTTCTCATATCAAGAAATGCTCGCTCACCTGCCGATGTTTGCCCATCCAAATCCGAAAAAGGTGCTTTATTCTTGGGTTTTTTTCTCAGTTTTTATTACCCAAATAGTTCCAAGTAGTAAAGTCCAAGTAGTTTCAGGTTATTGATCATTGGAGGTGGTGACGGCGGTATATTGAGAGAAGTCCTGAAGCATCCCGAGGTCGAACATGTTACCATGTGTGAGATCGATCGTGTTGTGATTGAGGCGTCGAAAAGGTTAGTATTTTCATCAACACTAGTAGTTCTGCCGAAAGCATTAACTGCCGGGCTGCATTCAGGCGGCCCCTATTGGTGGATTACCTGCACTCGCCAGCAAGAGATTCAGCTCATATCCCGCAGGTAGTGTGGGCGTGGCTACGTACTCAAAGTGTGGGCGTTGCGTCAGCTGCCCTTCTAGTGGGATATTTTTTAGGGCAAGTCGCAATCGTGTCTTATGTCCAGCACAAGACAGTATAACAGTTCTCTCAAATGAAACGATTTCACAAAATATCCCACGCCATATTTAGAAGAAGTGTCAGGCCTTTTCTATCTCTGGGATAAGGAGTATGGACACCATCTGGGCACAGCTTCCCAAACAGCCTTGGCGATAAGGAATGGATTGACGCTTAGTATTTTTTTTTGTTTCAGATTCCTACCTGGGATGTCCTGCTGTTTCTCAGATCCCAAGCTGAACCTGTTTTGTGGAGATGGCTTTGAATTTCTCAAGAATCATAAGGTTCTCATTGATTCCGGTGTCTCGATAAACTAATTATGGCTCTAAATTGTAGAATGAATTTGACGTGATCATCACCGACTCTTCTGATCCTGTTGGTCCAGCAGAATCCCTATTCGGCAAATCGTACTATGAGCTGTTGCGAGATTCTCTGAATGAAAATGGAGTGCTGTCTTCTCAAGGTATGTCATACGTTCTCTGGCAAAGTGACACCCAGGTACAGTCACGATCCTTGCAATTGATAGAGCCTGTGACGCGCGCGCGGATTGCAGCGTCACCAGCGTACGCTAGGCACGCTAGCGCACGCTGGCGTAGCGAGGGCACGGGAAGCATAGCTATCGATCTAGCTTCACCAGCGTTTCTCCAGCGGCACCAGCGTTTTGCTAGCGCTTGCAGCGGCAGGGAGTAGAGACTATGTGGCCGTGAGAGACGCGGAATCGACGTGTATTGTAGAGACTATGTGGCCGTCGGAGACGCAGAAGCGATGTGCATTGTAGAGACTAAGGGCGAGTGAGAGACGCGCAATCGATGTGTTTTGTACCCTCCAGCTCTCCCATAGTCTCTACTCCCCTGCCGCTGCAAACGCTAGCAAAACGCTGGTGAAACGCTGGCGTACGCTAGCGTGACGCTGGTGACGCTGGTGAAGCTAGATCGATATGCATCCTCTCCCCGGCACTGCCGCTGGCGTACGCTGGAAGCGCTACGCTACGCTGCCGCAAAGTATAAACGCAGCCATACTGTGATGCTATAGTGCCTGATACAGCAGAAGGGAATCTGGCCATGCCCCGTCACACGCCCTGTCGTTCGCGGGATCTCGACTGTAACTCCACTTTCTTCTTCAAATATGTGAATTAAGGTGAGTGCCCTTGGCTGGACCTTGCCCTGATTGCAAAAGTCTTACGTGAGTATTGTACACCAATATTTCCCGTGGCTCGGTACGCTGTCGGTTCTGTACCCACGTATACAAGTGGTTTCATGGGCTACATCGTTTGCAGCAAAGCCGAGGTTCTAATCCCTTTCAGCTAGATTCAAAGGCTTCTATCTGACTGTCGCTAATCTATTTCCTATTAGAGTGTCCTAAAAGTTCGTGACATTCTCAGACCTTGAGCCAAATCCTTATCAACGATAAGTAGTATCAATCAAGATTATGAGATCATATTTCTTACTGACTAATTACCGACGAACAGGCAATGGGTTTGTCTCATCTCAAAGGTAGTGGGCGCCATTGCTGCAGGCGGGCGGTTGTTGCGAGCGTCATTGGTGGAAGGGAGTTGGTCATACCTCCTGGGGCAGTTTGGCCGATCGTTCATCCCTTCCACCACGAACGCTGACAACAATCACCCTCCAGGCAATCCTGCCCACTGCCTTTGAGAAGCTTTTAGCTTCCGTTCCGAGAAAGGCAACTAAGTCATTTCTGATGTGCTTTTCAAAACTGTGTTCCGATGGCTGCTGAGGAACCCGTCGAGATAGCAGTTAATTCGAGTGCGACCTCCTTTCTTTCGACGACCAGATACGACCCCCGCGGGGATCTTCAACGTACGACGTGCCCTGGATACGGTAAAGTTCCTCATCAAGCCTCATGATATCGAATTGTGCCTTTCTCGAAATGTGTGACCTTAAGTGGGACGGACTCTGATGGGAATAAGTGGGCTAGGTCTATAAAAATGGGACTTACTGAACACACTGCCGCAATAAGAATTTCTCTGAACTGAACCAGCTCCACGAATCCCTCACTAAACGCGAATCACTACCTTTATGAGATCCACTTACCGATTGTGACCCCTCTGATGGTTTTACCCCTACGGCTTTTGCTAATGGTTGACATGGAGCTGTTATTTCACCTCCAGTTACAACACTGTTCAACCAGTCGGTCTGGCAGAAGCGGGAGAGAAGTTGTAGGCAGGCATCCCTAGGGCGTTCTTCTTTGAAAACCAGTCCACTCATGAAGGATCTTTATTGGTTGAAACTCGAGACCTCCTGAGGAAGTGAAGGCCCTTACTTTTCGTGTTTTTACAGTCATGATCCCTGCAAAGATAAGGCGTGGGACGGGGGTGCTTGGAAGCGCTCCCAAAGCGGCGCTTCACCTGAGATTCAAAAAAGTGTCACGAACTTTAGGACACCCTAAAATCTTTCAAACGTGCTTGTACGAGTGATGTGAATTAGTTGATAGTGAATGTTCAATGGTTAGCGTTGGCCCAACGGTTAGGGTTGTGAGGTAATTACCCCCCCAATAAAGACAAAATTCTCGTCGTGACCGCAGCTCTAAATTGTAGGTAATGTACGCTCTGGTTCGCTGCGGACGGTTGGGCGTGTCAGGCAGTATGAGTGTGTCACGCCGTCAAAGCCGTTCTCTGCCTTCTTGTTGAAGCATGCGACAAAAAGTGGTAGAAAACGAGTAATACGAACGATATGATACAGTCATATCACTTGCTCGCTTTAACAACTGGTGGAGAAACGGGTTTGGCACCGCGACCTCATCCGCCTGACACGCCCAACCGTCCGCAGCGAAGCTACACCATACACTCTAGTTCGCTGCGGACGGTTGGGCGTGTCAGCCAGTATGAGTGTGTCACCCCATCAAAGCCGTTCTCTGCCTTCTTGTTGAAACGCGCATGCGACAAAAAGTGGTAGAAAACGAGTAATACGAAGGATATGATACAGTATTGTCACTTGCCCGCTTCAACAACTGGTGGAGAACGAGTTTGGCACCGCGCCAAACGCAGCCGCACTGACACGCCCAACCGTCCGCAGCGAACTACACTATATGTCTCTTGAGGATTGAAGGCTACGTTTAGCGGCTACTGACTTCAGATAACGAGTATTCATGAGAGCTATCAATATACAAGGCACTATTTAGCCTTCCTGCCCCACTCTCCGAAAACAGGCCAGTTTTTGACCGGCTTGTTTCTGCGTTGGCAGAATTGAAAATTTGTCTCCTGAGGTAGTTTGACCTCCTGATCATGAATATCATATCTGCTCGGCCTGAAACCTCCCGGCTCTCGCGCTACAGGCGCTGGTGCTAGAACCCCAATTCACCGGCGCCTGTGGTGCGGGGTGCCAGGGAGTTTCGTGCTAAGCGATATTTAAATCGTATTCAGGAGGTCAAAATAACCCCAGGAGGCAACTGTTGACCCAACGTCCGCGGAGAAAAAAAATCGCGGAAAGAAAAGTCGGTCACAAAATGGCTCTATTCTGGATGGTTGGGGCAGTAAAGGGTAAATAGAGCCAATATAAACAGGGCACATCATTGGTTGGGGATTTTATTCGAGTCGGTACAACCCTCCCGCTTTTTTCCCCGAAAAAATTGGGGAGGAGTCGTACCACTCGATTAAAAAAAACAAAGACAGAGGGCCGGAAGTGGGGGGAAGAGATTTTTCCCCCACTTCCGGCCCTCTGTCCCTCCTCATCAAATCGAGCCGTCGAGCGGGGGGCGGGGTAAATAGCAAATGTAAAACAGGAAAATCACGAAAAGTCAACTACCAAACCCAACCACTCCTAGAGGGCTAAAAGTAATACGACCCCCCCCCCTCTCCCAACAATGAGCAAGTACGACCCTCCCCCTTTTACAACGTCCGTGAAGCGAGAAAAATCAACTATCAAAATAAATTTTCTCAGCCCAAATACGACCCCCCTCTCCTGGCGGCCAAATACGACCCCCCCCCCTGTTGGGGATTCCCCAACAACGATGTGCCCTGAATATAAAGCTGATGTGCAGCATTAAAGGCACAGTCCGCGAAGATAATGTGGGTGGAGTCAGGCCTATCCATGTGCTTTCTCGTTTGCGCGCCTCTACCTGTATTAGGAAGGGGAAGTGGATCAATGGCGAAGGCTGAAGGCGACTTTGTCCACGCAACCGAGTGGAGGGTGTTCTTGAGAGCCGGAGAATATTCTTTCACAAAACAAGCTTCCTTTAGTTGTGAAACGCTTCCTATTCGGTATTGCCTGTTGTAGGTGAAAGTGCTTGGCTACATCTTGGTTTGATC